CTGTCGCAACGTCGCAGAATAAAATTTGATTCTGTTGGGTAAACAGTAATTTCCGTATCCACAAAACTCCTTACAAGTTGCAACAGGCAGGAGTTGCGCTCTGCTGGAGTGATGCGGTAAGTGCTTGTTGGTCCCACATCTCCCACCAGGTCTGACTCCTCCCACCCCCAATAGCTCAGTCCTCCCCCAGCACACTTGCAGTCCTCTCATTCATACAACAGATGTAACGGCAGGGGGGTCCTTCGCCTTGCAAACAAACGAAATAAATGGCGGTGAGAATTATTCATGAATGTCTTACGACATTAGAAGGCAAACCTTTTGCAAGATGTGGAACTCCTCTGAAAGCTCCGCGTGACCGTTCTCAAAACCAGACCCAATCACCTCTTGCTACCGGACGCTGTCTTCCTTCAGTGCAAAGCTGGCCTCTTCTGGCAATCCAGGTAGCCGAATCCTGCCTCAAGCTCAAAAAAACCCCTCCTCCTCCCCAGATCTCGGGTTAATCTTCGCATTGTCGTGTTTCTCCAAACTGCAGAAATCCCCCGTGATTGACAAAGACTCTTCAGCTGATGCTTCCCCACCCGAAGGCGCAGGCGCTGACCCAGACTTCTCCCAGCCATTCTGATGCATGTGGGCACTTGCTGCCCTTGACCTCTCCCTGGCAGATGCCTGAGACCATTACTGTTTGCTCCGCTGGCATCCAGTCCCGCTCCAACATACATTCGGCAATTGGACGAAAGGGCTGTGAAGAGCCCGTGTCCCGAATGCAGTCGCAGAAGCGAATTTGCACCCAGGACCTCGGGCTTGGTTACAGTTCGTGCATCACAGAACATTGGACGCCCACGTTCTAAATAAGAATTTAGAAATTCTTGGGGCGCCTGGGTGGCTCAGTGGGTGAAGGCCTCTGCCTTCAGCTCAGGTCATGATCCCAGGGTCCTGGGATTGAGCCCCACGTCGGGCTCTCTGCTCAGTGGGGAGCCTGCTTTCCCTCTCTCTCCCTCTCTCTCTGCCTACTTGTGATCTCTCTCTCTGTGTCAAATAAATAAATAAATAATCTTTAAGAATTTAGACATTCTTGGGCTGGGGAGGCTGTTGGGAGCCCCTGGGGTAATAAGTCTCATGCTGGGATAGAAGTATCTTCCTCGTGCCTCAACTCTACTCCAGTCTGGTACATGGGAAGGATGACATCCCAGGCAAATGGAAACTGCCAAATACCATTTTGCTTATTTTTTTTAATAAATAATTTAAAAAACCTGCTATGTTAGCGTTGTGATCTAGAGAGAAGGAGATGATTTTTCATTTACATAGGAAAGTGAATACAGGCTACAGAGTCTTGAGCTTCAACTTCTGGAAAGATCACAGAATGGGGTGCAAGGTCAAACTGGCATGAAATCAATTGTAATCTGCCAGCAAGCCGTTCTAACCTCTATAAGAGTTTCCTTTTATATACATATATTTTTCCCTTTATAGAGAGAGCAAAGTACATTTAAAAAAAGTCTCATCAAATTGGAATGTCTTTCTAATATTATTTTTTTAATTGGTTGCTCCTGTGGTGTGACTGAAATCCTGGCATTTAACCCTCTGTGCAGCTTTGACTAATGAACGAATTTTGTCTGGTCTAAGAGTCTTGCTAAATGTCTTTTATGGGGTTTTTAAAAAATGACAGTGTATTATAAAAACCTCAGATCCCTTGACCTAATTGATTGGCTGTTGGTGATGCCATCTCTGTAATTGTAATGTTCCATAAGTGCACAGACCTAACTATTTTTCTTATTTTTATATAGCAGTTCCATTTTTTTAATGACATTAAGCCATTCTGAGCGATACATTTCTGGGCAGTTACTGCAATTGGGTAGAAAGTGTCATCTGGCTCGTAGCCTTGTGCCTTACACCAATCGAGGCGTAAAATGATCACCCAGAAAATGTACTGGGCCTTACCCCATTACTTAAAAATAAATCTTGGAGTCTGGGTCTGTCTCAGAAAAGCTTTGGTGGGTTATAACGTTTGATTTATGAACATAATTAAAATATAAATGATGAGCTTTGGGCTATTCAGTTAGCCATCTGGATTGTGCAGGATTTTGACATACTCACATACGAGTCAGGATCTTCCTGGGGAAATTTAACCTCCCTGAGTTCGAGAGGCGCCGGTGGAATCCCAGGCTGTCTGGTCTACCTGTTGAGCATACCTGAGTTCCTCTTTCAGGGGAAGGGAAGGGGCTGGATCTTGGCACAGAGACCCGCCTGTGCGGCTCACAGGCGGGGGTGACGTCAGTTCAGCTGCCCCACGGTCAAATGACATGCGTGTAAGTGGTGTGTGTGTCAGAGGAGGACATTTTTCTGTATGATGCAAACAAGATTAATGTTTACCTTTTCAGCCAGCTATTAAGGTAGCTGTAGCAGCTCTGCTCATCTGTAGATGCTAGAGGTCTCTCCAGCAGCCTGAGGAGTAAATTGGGAAAATCCGTTATCAAAATTGCAGGTGCATTTTCTATGGCGTAGTAGGATTTTTTTTTTTTTAAATATAAGTTTCAGGTACAGCAGATCCTTAGGTTGCTCTTCCTAATTTCTGTGAATAATTGGCAACTGGGAAACAGCCATAAGTAACATAAAAAAGAGTTTAACTAGAAGTCTGTGGTACTGAAGAGAGGCAAGACCGGCTTAGATTTTCAACAGTCTCTTTATTATTAATGGAAGTGGAGCACGTAAAACCCTTAGTGCACTGTGCTGAAAAATACACCCTCTCTGTTTGCTTGTAAATTACACAAGGGGGAAGAAAAACCAGAAATTCCATATAGACCAGCAGGCATCCTGCTTCTCCTTAATTAATGGGCAGAAGTCAGCAGAGCATGGAAAATGTAGTCCTTCCGTGGATCAGAGATTAACCTAGAAGCGAATGTTCCATTTCAGCCCAGATTGTGGGCTTTAAATTAGCCTTGCCCAGAATGGTTCCTAGGTAAGAATGACAGAGGTTTCCTGACCAGGAACCCCATTAAGTGCTGGTCTTTCTGAATGTGAAATATAAGGGACCGGGGTCTTTGGCTGTCGGTGTTCTTAGTAACATAACCTTCTCCTGTTGCTTGCTTTGCTTACTTATTTACTTATTCGTTTCTTGTGTTTGTAATAGACTTCACCAGCCAGCTCTGTGTTTATGGGTCACACCAGCAAAACTAATAGACTCACATATGTCACCCAACGGTTGTACGTAGTGTAGGCTTTGAGACCAGAGCCCTGCAAGGAGGGGGGCCAGCAGCTCTTCCTGCTTCTCGGCCAGCCAGTCCTCACTCAAGGTCATCGTGTTTATCCTGCCTGTTTCTGCCTCTCCGTAGGGACTTCTTTCCCCACCCAGTTACCAGTCTCTGGACACCGCCACACCATTTGGTTCTCGAACATTCCCTTGGCCAGCAAGTCTAAGAACAGAACCGTGCTTGCTTTGCAAGTGTCAGCTGGAGCTTTCAGGCCTGTTAGTTTATGTCCTCTGGCAAGTGGCTTAGCGTCTCAGAAAGGGTTACCCATTCACAGTGTGCAGTGCACACTGGTGTACAAAAAGGCACTCCTAAAAGGTTTTGAATGCCACGTGGTTTTCCAAGACAGAAAGATCTGTGATGGGAACAAGACTGTACCAACGTGTCTGGAAAGCAGCCATCCCCAGAGAGGACTCCCTCATGCAGCTTGTTTTAGCCGCGTACGGTTTGAGATCAGTTGAGTGTTGCCATAGTTCTGATTTCCCTCTCAGTCCATAGGATGAATGTTAATGAGCTAAGCACTGCTTGTAAAAGGCCAAGGGGCTGATGTTTAGGTGGTGTGATTGTCTGAGAAAGTAAAGTTATGGAAATTGTTTTGACCTTTCAGCCAAGTGATGTCTTGCCCTCTCACATTTATTACTCTTGGGTGCGTTTCCAAAAATACACATTTACAGAGCCACCGCATTAAATGAGAAAACTGATTTAGGGATTAATAGCTTGTTAGTTCAACATAGAAAAAAACAGTCTCCCCATTCCATTCAGGTTTTATTTGTAAATGTATTTGTATTGGTTTCTAAGTTAATCCTGATCCCTTCTGGTACCCTCCCTAGGCCCCACACCTCCCGTCATTCATCTTTTGGACCCAAACCCCGACCGGCTCCAAACACAGGTTTTAAGTAGCCAGTATATGTAAGAACAGCTATGTCACTTAGTTAAGTACTTGACTGCCTTCAGAAGCCATACTTGGTTTTAATTATGGATTACTCCTGGGTAATGCGGTTTTGAACCTGAAATCCCAACATTCACAGGCCTGCCTCCTATGAAGTTACCTCCATGACCTTGGACTGGCTAGTTCATTCCACTGGCTACTGGACTGGGTACCAGTGTTCTCATCCCTGAAACTGGGCTTATTCTACCACCAATGACAGCTCGTAGCACAGTAGGCCCTCGGTACCTGTCTGCGTCCTTCCTTCTCCTGTGTGTATACATTGAGACGTCAAAGATTTCTGTTGGGACCACCAGAAGCTCCCATTTCTTTATTTTCAAAGCCATTTGAGTGGAGTTCGGAAGTTTTGCCTTTCCCATTCAAAATCAAGAGCATAGAAGAGGCAAACTTATTAATATGCATTGTCACAACGTATTGTCACATAGTCATAGAGAATATATGATAAAATGTATCAATTCTGAGCACCGCAAATGTCTGGCTTCACCTCAGCATGAAGGCAAATGAGTTTCCTTTAGCTTGAGTGAGTTTGGAGATAAACTTCCATGTAACAAAATGTATTTCACAGGAAGTGTTTGATGTGACGCAGTTGGCTTATGAATCTCTTATCTGCTCGCGGTTCACTCCTTGGAGTTATTAGTCAATTTAATTTGAGCAAATGCCAGGATTACTAACTAATTAGGAGGATGTTAGTGAAGGCATGAGGTTGGGGGAAAGCGCGAGCGCTGGTGGTATGGGGTTTGGGGCGGCGTGCAAGTCTGATTTTTGCCTGATGTCATTTGCTAAACATTACACTTTGTGTTGTTGTCACACAGATAAGCCTCAAGTGCATATTCAGATGACTTACCCTCTACAAGGCCTGACCCGGGAAGGGGATGCGCTCGAGTTAACATGTGAAGCCATCGGGAAGCCCCAGTAAGTTCTGAAGGCCAAGGTTGGCAGAGGGTCATGAGCAGTAAATGTCACAACACGGAGCTGTGCGTTCGCAAGTCACCAGCCTGTCACCTGTCTCCTGCTGTAAAGGATGGAAGATTTTGCAAGAAATAAGGAATATTCACTGAAAAGGGGGAATAAATACCTGTGGTCGGTTCTTAATGGCCAGGATTGGGAGAAAAATGCAATGCCAGCTAAGATGGAAATCTCGACTAATTCTATTTTATTATCATCAACATGATTGTCAGAACTATCTTCTCTCATGAAAAAAAATAATCCTAATAAATTTTTAGTATGCCCACAATCTAATGATAAATCTGCTACCTTCTGTGCTAATGTCTAAGCTGCCGGGAAGGATGGTTTTCAGACTTAAATTAAGCCGCTGTGATTAGGGCCAGCCGTTGGAAAATGAATCTGCCCTACCTTTAATTTTACTTCTCCTTTCCTCAAAGGAAAGTGACTCCTAGAAATATGTTTGTTCATAAGGAATGGTCCCAGAGCTTTTCTCAAGCAGCCTATGTATGCCCCTGCAGAAGAGAAAGAACATAACACTCTTATTTTATGGAAAAGTACAAAGAAGCTGCTTCCCTGTGGAATGAATGGAAGTGAATTAGGGAAACTGCTGTATATTATCACTAATAGAGCAAAAAAAGCTGCTTTAGTGATGGTGCTGCTTTAGACGTCCATCCCATTTCATCTGGGGAGAGGAGAGAAGCTCTTTCTAAGAGAGTGAAGATTGTTTTTAACTGTTTCTTAAGGAAACAATCCCCAGAACCCTAAGAGGGAACAAGTTAGTGTCGAGATTCTGAGCCCTCAACTTTGAGTGGTCCCCACCAAAACAAAACAAAATAGCATTGAGCTCCCTCTGCTGTCCCTGTGGTATGATTCTTTTTTTCCCCCTCGGAGTTTTTATTAACCAGCCTATCACAGTTTTCATGCTCTGAGCATCTTAAGGAAGGTTCCTGGAAATCTCTGGAGAGCACTGTCCCTGTTACAGCTAAGGCGTGATCTCTGACAAGAGACCGGGGAGCCAGACAGAGGCGGGCTGCCATGCCTCAGCCCTCCCTGTGTCAGGCTTCCCTGACTGCGGGCTAGAGTCTGCTCTGTCTGGCCTCACCATGTGGAGCTTTAAAGATGACCTTTAGGAAGTAGGAGGTGGTCTTGGTTCTGTGGTGCGCCCAAGTTACTTGGTTCGAAATGCTTCAAGCTTTGGCAGAGCAAGCTTTCCCTCCTTTGAACACGGCCAAGGATGCAGATCTTTCTTTCCATAAACTGTCTGGTTACGCCCTGTTTAGTGACTTACCTTGCCTCCAAGAAAATAAGAAATAAAATAAAATCCAGTGGAGGAAAAGAAATAAATGCTCCCAGGCCTCTCACCACTTGTCATACCTATATTCAGCCGTATTAACCACATTTAGAGTATATGGCTTTGCTAAGCTACATTTTGTTTCTGTGGGGATTCCCCCCCCCCAAAGAAGGTAGTATGTTCAGTTGAATGTGCCACAGGGACAGTCAATGACACGTTTCCTTCAGGACATTTATGCCAGAGAAGGTATTTGTTTGTTCCTCCCAGATTGGAACGGGTGGACGGCTGTGTGAGCAAGCCCGCGTTACTCCACTGCGATCCCTTCCAGCATATTACCTATTTATTTTCTCAAGAAATTGCATACAATAAAAATGGTAATTTAGCTTGCCATTAAATGTTGTGAAATCCTCAGCGCTTACCCCCACTGATTGTTTCAGCTGTCAAGCAGCAGGACGTTTGCTCGGAATGCCAGGCAGCCCCATTTGCCGTTGCCTACAAGCAGCACATATGCAGGACTAATTTTTAAATAATTTACTGGGTTGTGATGACAAACCCATGTGTAATTAAAGAAAAATTGTAACTTCACATCCCATTTGAAAGTTGGAATGCTACTCGACAGGGCTAACTCGGGTGTTTGCTCATCATTCAGCACTGGGCCTTTCGGTCCTGTTGCCGCTCCTAGAGGTGGTTCTGGGGACAGACAAGAAGTTACTTCTGTGCCTGCGTCTCTGCTGCCCTTCCTCCAAAATGAGAGCTTCAGGCACAGGCGCCCACATGGCCCCGATGTCACGGGAGGTTGAGGGAGCCGCCTTGAAGAACGCGCATGTTAGATTCAAGGAGTTTGAAAGATAACTTGGTGCATGTGCGGTTTGGGCTCCAGAGCATCTTGTGAAATTGGCTTTTCCCTAATGGACACAAACGTGGCGCTGTAAATCCCTGAAACAAACGCGGCCTCTGAGTGCCAGAAGGAGCCCAGGTGGAGATGCGCCCCTCAGTGACTAACTCGGACCCAGAAGCCTCGCCCTTGAGTCACAGGGTCTGCAGGTGCACATGGAGAGGGAGAGTGTGTGACAGCGAGGGGGACTGGGAGAGCCGGCAAAGCAAGGCATTTAGCAGAGGAACCCATAGATAAGGTGGACTGGCCTGGGGGAGGCAGGTTATGGGTAGGGGTCAAAGAGAAAAGGATTGCGCCTTTCCCCGAATGAACAGAGGTACTTATTCCAACAGCAGAGCTCAAAAGAAAGCAGTGTTCAGATGTAAAAGTCTGTTTCTTTTTGCGAAACTTGAAATCCCTTTAAATATCCTAAGTGGCTTCCAAGCAAGAGTCTTGGTGTATCAGTAACCGTCAGAGTAATGCGTGTATCACTTGCCAAGAATTTGCTGTTTTCCCCCTAATTAATGAGATGATTAATGATGGCTGGGCTCTGTCCTGTTTGGTGTGAAACCACACAGCAGGGCATAAAAATAGGGCACATTGTTTTATTTGCTGATTTGTTAAAGATGAATTGAAAATAATGAGACTCCTGCTTATGGTCCGTTGAAAGTTTTTCAATACCTGATAATGTTTTTTAGAAAAACTTTATTCCAGACAGACTCAGGGGGGACTTCACGGCTGTAATTCTGTTACAGGTCTTTAATCGCGTCACCCTACATGGGACTCTTGTGATGCATGGGTGGGAAGCTGACGCAGACGTCTTGGTGGGAGATAACGAAGCACCCTGTGCCCCTCCTCTTTCCTCTGCAGGCCGGTGATGGTGACCTGGGTTAGAGTCGATGACGAGATGCCTCAGCACGCCGTCCTGTCCGGGCCCAACCTGTTCATCAATAACCTAAACAAAACAGATAACGGTACATACCGCTGTGAAGCCTCTAACATAGTGGGGAAAGCTCACTCGGATTATATGCTGTATGTTTACGGTACGTGGAAAGCTAAACCCGTCTTCTACTAGACTCATTTACATGTAGTTGCTGCTTATGATTCCCTCCCAGAGCTTTTGGTCCGGTTGAAAACCAGAAGCCCATTTGTTTTCTGCAAGACCTTAAAGAAGCCTGGCCTGAGGTGGACCCCATTGTCCCCACCTGGGAGGGCAGTGACTTTCCGTCTCTCCCTCTAATCGTGGGGATTAGATCACAGTCCCTGATCATGCTGAGCAGGAAAGCTGTGTCCTCAGGCACAAGCCGTGGAGACTGTGTTAGAAATAATGACTGCAAAATTCAGCCTTACCAATTAATGGCTATTTAGCTCAGAAAGTTTATTCCCAGTGGTATTTTCCTGTGATATCTGAGCTAGTGTCCTGCTTTGATGAACAGGAGTATCCTGTTTTCAGCATGAAGCTATTCCATTCCCGAAGATGTTGCAAGCCAGTAAATACTTGGAGAAATGATACAGGCTCCTTATGTAGCCACATAAACCACCAGTAGCTCTTCCTTTAGACATGAACACATTTATTTTTAAATTTGTCTGTTTTCTTAATATCTTCTCACAGGATTACTAGAGCATATAGCATCATCAATTGCATTCTCTAACCAGCAAACGTTTCTTGAGCATCTCCTACGTGTCAGACATCTTAGACTTTTTCCCATTTCTTTCTAAATTCATCTATTTGACAGAGAGAGAGAGAGAGTGAAAGAGAGCACAAGTAGGCAGAGAGGCAGGCAGAGTGGGTTGGCAGGGGCCGGCGGGGGAGCCGGCTCCCTGCTGAGCAGAGAGCCCAATGCGGGGCTCGATCCCAGGACCCTGAGATCATGACCTGAGCCGAAGGCAGGGGCTTAACCCACTGAGCCACCCAGGCGCCCGACTTTTTCCCGTTGATATCTTAATGTCAATTTTGTGTGGTGAATATTCTCTCTGTAGTTGAGGAGGGCACTGCTGCTCTAGCCTTAGGATGGCAGACTATGCCTCTTCTGTCCAAAGTCTCTAGGTCAGGTTTATAAAGGAAGCATAGTCATGAACTGAGATGACATGGCATGAGTAACCACAGGCCTGAAAATTTCAGTGTCTTATGAATATACAGATATGTGTGCACATTTCCTTCTTCCTGTTAGCACTGTAAATACATTATCCAGGTATAACTGTGTACACATATACACCCGTACGCACAGAACTATATGTAGGAAATATTGTCTCCATTATGTCTTAGAAACTGGCCCCTTTCCTTTTGAAGAAAACAGGAGTCCGTGTCTTTTTGAGGACGCAGAAGCATGCTTTACCCCCTATCTACTTGGATATTCAAATATAATCCTTATGATCTAATTCTGAGGTTTTAGGCGTCTTATTCTCCCCCTTTTAACATAATGCAGAATTACAAGATCACATCTACCCACCTGATTTGTAAACATCTGAGATGTGTTTTCTGCATACACTACCCACGTTGTCTGTGCTCTATACATGTAAGAGTATTAGTTCTCCCTAGTGGTTGAGGAGATCCCCACGAAGGGAACAGTGATCCCATGTCCATACCAGGGGGTGCCCTGGGCCCCCTTTTCAGTTGATATGACACGTGCCTCAGACTGTTCACGGTCCGCTGATGCCCCCTTTTCAGTTGATATGACCTGTGCCTCAGACTGTTCACGGTCCGCTGATGCCAGAGGCTGGCAGGTAGATCTCCGTCTGTACATGAGGGTTTGAGCCTCCCACAAGCCCCCTGCATTGCCGCCCCCCAGGTCCTCAGTGGCAAATGCCCGCCAGTCTAGGATATGTTTCCATGAGTCAGAAGACTAAGTTATCTGGAAAAACAACTCTGATTTATCATCCCTCCTGTTGCCACCTTTCCAGACAAGAAACATTTTGTGGATTTTGAAGGACACAGATGTCTTTGGAACATGGGATGCCACCTTATGCCTAGCGTTTTTTGAGCACTCCCTGTGTCCCACCATTGCATGTGCATGACCACCTCGAATCTCCCCAGGAACCTCAGGACGTATGCATTATCCTCATCCCATGGTACAGATGAGAGAGGAAGCTTAGGAATGTCACCTAAGCTGCTCAAGGTCTCAGGCTTACTGTGTCTCCAAGCCACGACACTTCTGACTGCCAAGTCTACAGGGACATTGGAGTCTTCCTTTGTAGGGCCTCTGATTCTCACTGCTTCCCGCCAGAACAGTTCCCTCCAACATGAGATGTTTGGACTTAACTCGCCGGGCCAGAGTGCATTATTGAAAGCCAAGAAACATAGCGACCTACCTGTTCTGATAAGCGCATGCGCGCACATTCGAGCGCGCGCGCACACACACATCTCCCTAACCCAGCTTGTCATACTTACCCTCGTCCAGGAATCTGTTAGAGCTATAGGAGTCTACCCACCTCCCTTAAGCTATGCCAGTAGCACTGCCTGGAATGGCGGCTACAAGGCCAACCTGAGGTGTTGCTTGTCTGTTAATAAAATATTCTAGCAGTTGGAGACAAGATGGCGAGTAGATTTTCTTTTCAGAGGTGGTTTATTGTACTACTACTGCAGTAATGTACAAAGTACTTTATGAACCAAGCGTTAACGTGCCTTTAAAATGTTTAATTCTCTGGAAATAACTCCTATACTTGGAGAATCTAGCTGGTTAGTGCCTGAGCCCCAATTGGTTTTGTTCTTTGAGCCTCTATGTGTCAAACACCGCTCATTAGCACCAACTCTGTATTTTCTTAAATAGTGGCCTCACATTGCTCTTATTGCTGGAAATGATCTGAGCAACAAGGTTATACCTGTTAACAGAATCTAATTCATTCAGGTCACTTGAGCCAGATGTGAAGGACAACAGTTACCCCGGTAGTGATGAAAATAATTGAAAGTATGTGATTTTCACAAAACGAAAGGGACCAGTGACCTTTTTTCTGAAGTCTCTGCCCTTGTTAGTCTGGTCCACCCCTTGTTCATAATCGTGTTTTCAAATCATATTTCAAAAATGGACCTTCCATTCCCCTTTGATTATATTGTGGATATCACACATTTTGTGCCAATACTCTGAGAGATGGGTTCAGAAATAGCATTAGAGTGTACCAGGGGGAAGTCTCCCAGGCACAGATGTTCCCTTTCCAGTGATAAACATTGTAATTGAACCAGAACAGAGAAACCACATTAGCTGCTCACATGCTGGGCAGCAGGAGCCTCTCTGGGTACAGCTGAGTTGGGTAGGAGACGGCACGGGATGCCTTCAGACCTTGGCTTGGGGACCCATGCCCCTCGCTCTGCTGTGTCTGTCCCGGTGCCCACAGCAAGATGTGGGAGCAGCCACATGGTCTACTGGGTCCCAGAATGCTTCCTCACCTGGGGCCTCCATGAGAACGAGGCCAGGGAAGCAAGACTGAACAAAAGGTGCCTGTTCATCTGAAAAGGTGGTTTGAAATTACTTAATCATTTCTGCATCTTGGCGGACAGTGAGATGTGTGTGTGTGTGTGTGTGTGTGTGTGTGTGTTTGGTCTTGGGGGGTGGATTTGGTTTTTGTGGGTTTTTTGTTTTTTTTTAGTTTTTGTTGTTTTTGTTTGAATTCCTTTTTGAACTCCAGTGTGAGGCTGCTTTAAACCACTCGTGTCCCCAACTTAAACAAGCACAGTCTTCCACAAGACAGAATCATTTGCTGGTGGTCTTTGCCCATCACAGTCATACACTGTGTATGTGTGAGAGAGGTTGGTTAGGAAAATTAAAACCTCAGATTAGTGATCGATAGTAGGAATCATCTCAAGCAGACCTTACAACCAGGCACCAAAATAGTGTTTTCGTCAACTTTCAGGAAGTTGTACCAAAGCCAATAAAGGTGCAGTATATAATTAAAGTTTTGATGTATTAATTAGACAATCTGAGAGCTCACTTGGAGATAAAAGGACACCAGATGTGTCAGGGAGAAAAAGTTGACGTGCTTTAGATAAAATTTAAAATCAAAAGCCTTCAAATCGTCTTACGCTCTCTTATACCAGAATGATTGCTTAGTTCAAAGTCTCGCTGACAATTTAACACATTCAGTTTGATCATTTGGGCTCGGGATTTTCTTTTTTTCTCTTTCATATTTGCCCTTCCCTTGTCCCCCAAATAATTTCTGAGATGATAGAAGAATATACAGTATATCAAACTTCTGGCGGAGGGTTCCCTCTGGGATTCCTGGCTTGGAGGGTCAAGCCCCGTTTATATCTCATCCTCTTGTTTACAAGAAGGAAGGCGGGCTTTCAGTCTTATCACCGCCGTCCACTCAGGTCAAGCTTTTAACATGAGCAAAGGCAACTAACACATTAATATTTATAAGTTGTAAAATTTATTGACTTTAAAAAAAACAAAATCTCAGGAAAATCTCACATGCCTGGGACTTGATATTTAGTGGTGACATTCTCTCTTCTTTGTATTTATTACGAGCGTAGAAGTAGTTTCACTTCCCGCTGGGATGTATTGATGGGGGATAATGAAGTTACCCGTCATGGAGAGCAGGGGACCAAGAGCACACTCGTCCTTGGCCGATAGCAGCCCTTTCACTGGAGCAGCGTCCTCTCCTCCTGCTTTCTCCCATCTGCAGAAGCATGAAATGAAATGACTCTCGGGCGCAGGGCTGGTTTACCCTCCCCTTTGAAATCAGATTGGGGCGGGGGTGTCCTATTTTGATTTTCCCTCCCTTCTCTCCTTCACATCGCCTCATCCCTACTTTGCATCATTAATACAAATCTTTTTTCTTCTTTTCTTAGCTTTTTCCAAGTAAGGTTTGGGGTTCCAATTACAAGATACAGATCTTCGGTATGGGTGGGGCGGGGAAGCTCTTGGTTTTGGAGGGGGACATCATCAAACAGACATCTCAGTGTCCTCATGCCTTTGTTTTGTCATTACTGATCATTGTTGTGTTCAGCATTGTGGGTTTGATTTTCCTTTTTTTTTTTATCCAGATCCCCCCACAACTATCCCTCCTCCCACAACAACCACCACCACCACCACCACCACCACCACCACCATCCTTACCATCATCACAGGTACGGTACCTTCATGACCACTGAAAATGTCCTGAATGTATATTGTCTTTCTCGTGTGTATGCAAAGAAGCTGGAACGGTCCCTTGAAATCCTTGGAATGTAATGGGTCCTTTATTTTGGAACTTCAGAGACATGAGTTACTTTGTTCTCAAGCTGAATCTTAAGGGCCTCCAAAAATCTTTTAACATCCAGGCATTTAACAGTAGATCAGATATTTTGCAACTTACGCTTAAGAGAGTTCTCTTTTAAGCATCACTGTTCAAAGCAGAATGCTAGGGAAAATGGCCACCTGGCTGTGTAAGAACGTGCCGGTAGCTTAGGCTTAGCCACGGTTGATGAAATGGTAAGTATTCTGCCTTTGGATCTTCTCGTTGTCTTAATTCCATTTTAATTCATATGGAAGAAAAGACACACCCTTTAACGGGCCCAGGGGGCCCATGTTTCGAAATACATCACCCTTCTTCCTGCCCCAGAGAGGACCCACTGACAGTGTTAGAACCTGTGTGTGTTGTCGGGGTCTCAAGGTCAGAGAGAGTCACTGTCCTCTCTGTGCTGGGCACTCATGTACCCATCCCCCACTCCCACCCCCCCGCCCTGGCCTGCTACCCTCAGTTAAATACTGGAGGTATGGACGAGGCAGCCACAGCCTCTGTGGCTTTATCTTTTTCTGGACTGTCTGAGACTCTTCTTCAAAACGAGTTTCATGGTCTCCGACTTGTATCACTGAGGGAGGAGGGATGCCATCCATCCCCTTGCTGGTACTCTGTGGCTCTCATACCACTTGACGTTGCTTGCCAGGGAGCCTCGGAGCTCTGCTGTCTGCTACGGTGGGAAAGCCTATAGTTGCACTATGTCAATTAGACATGCAGGATTTCCTGACATAAGATCTTCCCCCACTGCTGTGTGTGGGTTCCAGCCCCAGAATGTGTCAAAGTGATTATTCTAGGAGGGGGAAATTTTTTTTTCTTTAAAAGAGAACTTCCCCGGTTCATTCTGTTATCCCAGGAGACTGCAAGATCTCTCTGAGCTCCACGCCCCAGGATGCAGGACTTCTGTTAAAACACTGAATCTATAATTCATCATTCTTTGTGTGTAGACCCTCTTTACCACCCTAGATAAGGCAGCTGTGCTTTACACTGACTTTCTGGAGACGCTCTTGGTCTTCACAGGAGTTGGTGGGACAAGCATGACGAAAATCCAGAGTGTTCTATGGAAGAGGACGTTTATGAAAGAAGATGGTAGATCCCCTAGTCTGTTTTCTTCACCTTCCTAACCCATCACAGTGGGACAAAGAGAATGTTAGAGAAAGCCACTAGTGAGGATTTTCTGTCTGCTGTTTATGCAACCATCAGTGCCTGCACTTAAAATCTTCCGAAAACCCATCAATTGGTTATTGTGCCTCACTCTAAACTCCGCTCCATCCAGGCTGCTTCCGAAATCCTCGTCTGTGCGTATTTCGTGTTTCAGTTTTGCTCTTCCTTCTGCTGCTTAAGCAAAAGCTTGTTAGCATAGCGCGCAGACTCCTCCCACTTTCTGCTTCATTGCTGAGCACAGCAAAGATGCTTCCGCCTTCCTGATTCCAGGTCAGCCACCCTCTCCGCTGTCCACACCGGGAGCTAGGTTTTTACCTTTTGTGATTTCTTGCCGCTTATCCAGGTTGTAAACTGAATTAGGCTTGAGCTCTCGATAGTAGGTTTTCATGAAATTTCCTGTGAATGGCCCTTTGGACGTCCGTGTGAATTACACCTCCATCCCCCACTGCCCTTTTGCAGTAGTCGGTTCATCTTTGCAGAAGGGGCCCTGGGATGAGCCAGCCCTTAACTACCTCTCATTCTAGAGGGTTCCCTCTAGGTGACTGTGGCTAGGCAGGTCTATATTTTAAGGCAGTGGAGGCCTCTCTCACTCTGTAGAAATGCCCCATTTCTCCAGAACACGGAAAAACACTTTTCATCTGTGTCTGGCCTCTCGCTAACTCAGGCTGGTTTTTGTTTTGTTTTGTTTTTAAGACCTTTGCTAGCACCCCCTGAACTCCAACCCCCTCACTCTGTGCAACACAGCAGAGGTGCCTCTGCTCCCAGCTCTCAGCCTTCACCCCCACCGAAAGCTTTTCTTGTGTCCTCAAACAGCTACAAGTCGCTGTTATCACCGTTCCAAGCAGAGAGACTCCATGTAAGAGGAAATCTTCAGAGCAAACAGTCCTGTATTCCCATCCACATCGAAGGTACCTTTAAACAGGGGTTTGTCTTGGCTTCGGTCTCTCTGCTCCTGACCTCGAGGCTCCAGGGGATGCCCCATGAGCTCCCAGATACACGGTAGCCTTTCGGCACCAGCACTTAAACCCTGGCCACACACACAGGGCATCTGTGGCTGTGAACACCCAGATTCTCCCTGGCACCCCCAAGAGTAGTTAGAGCAAAACTGCCACTGAAACACATCGTAGGCTCTGCTGCCTTAACGGACATGATCTTCTAGGCTTGCTGGGTCTTAACAAACAGCTTCCATGTATTTATCTTGCCTAGGAAGTACACTCGTGGATTTTAACATTTGCTCCTTACTTCAAACAGATTAAAGGTTATGGAGCTGAATGAGCCTGTGTCCCATTTTAAAGGTCCAGGCTATCCCTGAGATTTAGACTGGTTCCTAAAAAATCTTCCAGACCGGATCTTGACAAATGGATAGCTAAATTAATTTCCACTCTTCTCTCTTGCACTGTTCGCTACATAACAGCCACCCGTTAGCCTTAAAAGCTGCAACAGCTAAATCCAGTGACAGTAACATAAAGCCTGAGCTTTAAAAAAAAAAAAAAAAGAAAGAAAGAAAAAAAAAGAAAAGAAAAAGAAGCAGCCCACAGTCCTCCATTTCTTTTCTCCCACTCACACACAATAACTGAAACCCATTCCCCAGGTCAGAGTTTCATTACAAGAAAATGTACAAATGTGAGAGAAAAATATTTTTAAACTTGAAAGGCCATAGTTGATTTCTGATTCCTTGGAAAGGAGGTGCTCCGGCACTATCTTTTATCTTCCATAACCAGGGTAATCGAATTGTTTTCCTTGTTAGAGAGGCAGACCATCATCGAGTCCTCAGTTGCCCGGCTCCCTCAAAAGCAGGTTAAAGATCCTCAGAGGGGAGAAATCATGATCCCAGTCCGAGGTGATATTGCCATCGTGACTCCTACACCTACCTGCCTGGTGGGAGGAGCAGGGGAGCTCTTTCTCCCGTCTCAGGTGCATGGAGCAGGTCTCCTGACCTTCGCATGACGGCACACACCTCTAGCAGCAGACTGATCTAGGGGAGGAATTTTTGAAGGCTCTGGGGTACTGAATGGAGTATTTGATGTCAACTCGCCCCATCATCCTTGTCGCAGCTTTGCAACCATTAGGCCGTTCCTTCATTAGACTCTCTCTCTTTAATTTTAAAAAAAACCATTGGAGAGTTGGAATTGAAATGGGAGCCATCCAGAGCCTCACTATAATTCGCCATGAGCTTCTTGGGTGTCTCTCCCATCTCATGCACACTGGTATTCTGATCAGGTACATCTGTTCCGATTAGGGCAGTTGGCAGCCCCCTGCTTTTTTTTTTTTCTAATCACATCAAGTTGTCCATGTGGTTTCATTTACAAAGATACATGCTGTGATATTGAAGAGCAAACCACGTTGTCCAAATTGTCCCCAGAGCCCTCTGTTAAAATAGAGGGCCAGCCAAACCATCCCCTGGGCTCAGAGTCCTTCATGCAGATTCTACTCCAAAATTAGAACCGAAGAGAAACGGGGGGGGGGGTAGTGGGGAGGGGTCTTTTGTTTTGTTTTGTGTTTGGAATTTTCTTTGAAATTAGCTGACTTGAGGTATGAGGTGTGGATAAAATTGGATCCAGCTTCTTCCTCTAGCCATCGCCATCTTAGGAAAATAGTGTTTCCCTCCCTAGATAATGTGGATATTGTATTGTTTCTGCTTGGTCCTGTCCTTTGATGAGGAGTCTACCTTAGAAAGCAACACAGTGATCGGTTATAAGCACCCTTGGCAGCTTCAGTAGGAAATTCAGGCTCACTGGGGCCGGGGGGAGGGGGGCCAACCTGTAGGTCACTGTACATGTGACTGTCATAAATTAAAACATTAAAATCACTTTAGAATAAGAAATGAATAGCCACAGGGCCAAGTCCTAGAACACATTTAAAAATCCTTTCACAGGAATGAAATAGGTCATTTCTAAATGAGTTTTTCCTCTTTTTTAAAGTACGTATCCAATTCAGTATTTTGTGTTTCCTGGGGAAGAAAACAGCACTGTTCTTCTGCTTGGTATCTAAGCACTCCAAACTCAGGGTACCTTGGAGAAAGTGAGTCCCAGCCCACAGGCCCACGCTGTTACCTTGGCTTTCATAGTCTGATATCCTAAGCCGTTGTGTGTGTGATGCGTATCCAGGCCCATACACCTGAGTGTGGTCCTTCTCCTTCAGAGATGCTCAGAGCACTCCAAGTGCGGGAGGCCCAATACCATGGCACGTGTTTCCAGTTTCTTAAATACGGAGGAAAGAAAGACACCTGTACTAACCTCACCCTGTACCAGGACCCTCAAAACAACACTTAGAGAGCCTGGTCTCACCTGGAGCCACTTCTCCAGGTCTTAGCCTCCTCTGTGCTGCGGGTGTTTGCATGGTGCCAAGGGCTATATGCTTATCCACCAGCTTTTAGGCATTCATTTAACAAATACCAAGCCCTTGTAATACATAAAGTATTATGCTAGTGCCTGGGGAGGCAGAAAATTCCTTAAGCCCCTTAAAATGTGGTAGAGAGACTAGGTTCTCCACCCTGGAACCCAAGAGTGGGAGGTGCTCTGCATGGAGGGCCCACCCTGCGGCCAGAGCAGGACTGGGGAGAGCTTCGCAGGTGAAGTAGCTTGGTCTGCCATCAAGGAATGCATAGAATGGGGGTACGAAAGAACGGCGTTCTGGAAAGTAAGCATGATGGCCCAACTTCAAGCATTCGTCTGCAGTGTGTGTGTG